AGGGTTTCGCCATGTTGGCCAAGCTGGTCTCAAACTCCTGTTTTTAAGCGATCCACCTGTCTCGGTCCCCCACCCCCAAGTGCTAGTACTACAGGTGTAAGCCACTGTGCCTGGCCGATAGTTTTTAATGCGGAGGAAGATATGGGCAGCTTCGTGTTTTTGACTCTGGCTATAAGGGTGCAGATGGATGGGGCATGGGTAGGATGCATGCTTAGAGACCAGTGAGGAGGCTGGTGCACTAGTCCAGGTGAGAGATGGCAAAGGATGAGATCAGGTAGTTGGCTGTGGGGTAGAGAGAAGGGGATGGATTTGAGAGCTCTTTTGATGATAAAGTGGGTAGTTACTGGGGGAAGGGCAGTGCCAGCCAGTCAATGAAATGAAGCACACAAGATGTAGTGGAAAAAGATAAGGGTGCATACATCCACCTCTTCTGTTTACCATTGTACCAGATGTCTAGCCAATGCAGTCGAGCAGGAAAAAAAAAAGGTGTCAGGATTGGAAAATAAGGAACAAAATTGTCGTTACTCACCATGATATGATTGTATACATAGTTAATACAAAACAATTTATAGACAAGAGTTCATCAATGCTATAAAAATAGATTAATCTACTAAAATCAATTCATTTCTATACATCTGCCACAGATATCTAAAAATGAAAATTAAAAAAAATTATTAATTTCTTTTGAGACAGGGTCTTGCTCTGTTACCCAGGCTAGAGTACAGTGGCATGACCTCGGCTCACTGCAACCTCTGCCTCCTGAGTTCAAGTGATTTTCCTGCCTCAGCCTCCCTAGTAGCTGGGACTACAGGTGTGCACCACCACACCCAGCTAATTTTTTATATTTTTGGTAGAGATGGGGTTTCACCATGTTCATCAGGCTGGTCTCCAACTCCTGACCTCATGATCTGCCTGCCTTGATCTCCCAAAGTGCTGAGGTTATAGGCATGAGCCACTGTGCCCAGCCTATGTATAAAGGTCCTGAACATATTTTATAACATTTATTTCCTTTTTTTTTTTTTT